ACTAAAATCTCAAAGGAGTCATTCAATTCTTTGTCATTCTGAATGTTAATTTCACAAATATTTAGTTATTGGAAATATACAAAATATTTGAACATTTTAATTACCTTTCCTAATTAACTACTTGGTTTCTCATTGTTTTTTGAGATAGTTACTTTGACTTCTTTTCATTTTTGTTTTCTTTTGGGAGGCGGGTTGGAGACTATTATTGCCTGACAAATATTGGATTTTATTTCGTGTAATCTTTGACGGCCAAGCTCCTACAATCTTTGAACGCCTTATTTTTTGTTCTCATCAAGTTTTAGTCGCAACAGAACAAGGGCGCAATTGCGTTTAAACAAGTGACAAAAGCGTGCAAGGCGGCAGTGGTTAGCGGGGTGGCGCCAGGTCGGTCGCAGGCTGAAAAACCGCGTCGCGCTTGCCGTCGCCAAGACTGTCGCCTGCCCACGCCATCCACTACGTCGCCCATGCCGCCACACCCGTCGCCCACGACACCAACCCACCTGCCCTCGACACCCCCCACCTCACCTCGTCCACGACAAACATCCACGCACCCTACCCACCCCCTGCCCACAACACCCAACCATCGTGCGCCTACCGGCTCAAACACACCTTCCATCTGCCCTTCTCCAGCCATGTTCCTGCCCGTACCGCTCGCCGCCTCCTTCTTCCCACCATGACGTGACCCATGACCCCGTCTACTTGTCTATCCACTCACCACACCACACCACACCACACCACACCACACGCCCGCCCGTGGCGCCCGCCCTCCCTCGTCCAACGGGGGGAGGGGCAAACCTCCTGCATCGATCCTGCCGCCACCGTGTCGACGGCTGCAAATCGGTCGTGGGCCTCGAAACGAGCGAGCATGCGCCGTTTTGTGCGGGTGCGCTTTCGTTCGTTCCGCTTAATTAGACTTTCTTTCGAGTTAAGCGATTCTCTCTTTTTTCTCGCGAACGAGGCCCCTTCCGACGCATCTGTGTTTCTGAAGCCTCCGTCGCTCGAGCGAGTGGATCTGGGAAGTTTGATATGTTGCAATTTTCGTTCTGAAGGAAATGTTATGATTTGCGTTTTGTGATGAAAATGACGATATTCTTCGAGCAATCCTATCTGAGAGGCTGGTGTCACCATCTTCTTGCCAAATAGAACGGCATTGTAGTAGACGTGTGTGTGTGTGTGTGTGTGTGTGTGTGTGTGTGTGTGTCTGTTGTGTTTAGAATGTGGGATTGTTCCTGCGGTCAGACACTGGAGCATTTGTATCAGGGGGTTTCTGTCCATAACCGGTTCCTATCAAGAACACTCACTCAGACGTTACCAAAGCTCTCCAAATGGTCTTCCGACATGTTCAATGTTTGTTTAAGTGTAGTGTATGTTTAGAGATACGGAAGGAAGACACGGATGAAGCAGATTGGTCGTTCGCGGTTCGCGATCCTTTGTTTTAAGTTCTGCTCCGTTATTTGCGGGAAAATAATCGGAGATTATCAGCTCGCGATCACAGCTGATCGAACGTCAGAAGTCACTCTATTTAAATCGGGGAATAGAAGCAATATTTACTTGTCAATCATTTTTACTTTTTTACTTGTGAACTACTAAAAAAAGCAATATTTCAACGTCGTTGCTTACAAATTTAGTCAGTAACAATGCGCCTTAACCACTACAAGAAACCAAGAATCATTTTTATATTCCTTTAATCGAATGTACATTAGTTTCTAAATATATCGAGTATTTATCATAGATAACACCACGAGTGCTTTGTAAATTGTCGATACATTCCCGACTCGCAAAGCGAGGTGTAGTTCCTTGAGTGAAATTAAGTCCAACATTATTTTATATGTACAATAGTTTTCCAAACTGCGCAAAGTATTGAAAATAATTGAAAGCGTATGTTAAAATCAGAGGTATGGTAAGAGTACTTATGCCGTTTATTGGATATCGTCATAGTGATCGATGTATACCGTCTCCTAAGGTAGACAAGTCACAGTTTATGATTGGCCAGTAGATAGAAGCGGTCAGCAAAATGGGATAGAAAAAACGATAGACATCTTGAGGTACACCGTCCTCAAAACATTGGGGCATGTTGTATGTAAAGATAAACACTATTGGTTTTAATTTTATTAGTGGAATAGTCTCTTTAATTCTTGCTCGAGTCCATAAGTTTTATGCGAAATAAATGTTCGGCGGAATAGTATTACTTAAGTTTATAAAAAATCTTAAATTTGGTTTTTGCTTGAAATGTGCCAAGTTCTTCTGTCAATTATACTGAAGAATTTTTGGTTGTTCTAAGGAATTGGCCATTGAACCCTTGCATTCCCACGTGCTATGTGACATGCGTTTCGCCGTTTCCTTCGTTCCGATGCAGGTCTCCGCGGCGGCCGAAGGAGCGGCTGCGTCCGTCGGGGCGCGGGGGGTGGAAGGGCAGGGACGCCACTCCTCCGCCCGGCCCCGCCACTGGCAGGCGGAACCGGAAACGGACGACTTTCCCGTGCTTCATCGCCCGGGAAATCGAACCACTGGCCTTGCAAATACGTGGACGGCCTCTCGCCTCCACGAGTGTCGAGAACGAATTTCGTGGGGGGAGGGGGGGAGGAGCGACAAAGCCAACTAGTGGTGTTATAGAATGGCACAGACTTCTCGTATTAGTTTTGTATTTCCTTTGGTCTAGGCTAGCTCTTCTGACTTGCCAACTGCCGTCTATCGCCTAAATGTAGCTTCACTATGCGCACGTTTTGTTGAACTCTCCTTTTGCTTGTAATGGTAAGAGTAGAGGTAAGGGCGAGTTCCTAATTTTGTTAGCAATGCAGAAAATCATATTTGCAATTCGTGTACCGATGCAACTGTTTTTTTTCCAAGTATTGCTTATCTTGCGATTTTTAAATTTCATTTTTATTTATTTATGTTAAAGTTTTACTCATCTTTCAACTATTTATAGTTAAAATGACGTGAAGGGATTCTGGAACTCAACAAAACATGCGCAGATAATCTTCTCCCCCCTACGTCACATACAGTTTTTACTGAATAAATCTAAATCTAAATCGCCGCCCAAAAAACTTTTTTTAAAAGATTTTTTGAAAAATTTTTCGATTTCTGAATAGTAGAAGTGAAATTTTTGGTAAAGAATTATAAAACCTCCTTCTAAATGTCTATTTTCATTTAAAAAATTGAAGAAAACGACGTTTAAACATTACTGAAAATGCGAAATTTGAAGCTCTTTTTCACAGAAAATTGTTTTTGAAAAAGTCATCACAACAGTGCAATTAGCTCTATCCGTTCGAAAACTTTGTGCAAAAATTTGTAGCCGTTTTTGAGAAAATGACGTTTAAGCGTTTCAGAAAATGCGAACTTTTGAGTCAGTTTTTGAAAAAAGGTTTCTAAAGATGCAGGAATTGGAGCTCATTTTCACAGAAAAATTTAGAATTTTCGAGAAAATTTTTCAAGTATCATTTAAATTATATGTACTCGTATATGCAATACTGTGAAGAAATCGCCGCTAATGTAAATATTAACGCCCTGAGATGCTAATCAAAAAATTACATTTTTGCAATTTTTGAGAAAAAAAGAAAAGAGCAAAATATGGGTAATGTAATTTTATAACGTACATTTAGCACTACCCTCTCCAAAATTTTAAAGAAAAAATATGAAGCGGTTTTCGAGAGGGTCGGTTTTTGAGAAGGTCTAGTTTTTATTCATTTTTTAAAATTGCACATATTTGACGCAATATTATCCCGAAACCACCAAAAGTTTCAAAAACGTATATGACCTCGAAAGAATAATTATGAGCAACAAATACATTTGAAGAAATCTGTATCTTCAATTTTGTTGTTGCAGGAAGTCGCCGAAGAAAATTAAATATTTGCAATTATGGGAAATGCAAAGCTAACAGTGGAAATCGTAACTATGTTCTTATAAGAGTATTTTACTCTAATGTAACAATAAATTTAAAGAAAAACTGTTTGAGCCATTTTTGAGGAAATTTTGAAAATGTCCCCAAGGTTTCGTAGAAAGTACTCTGAAAAAGTGTTCAAGGTTTTTCAAAATCTCGTAGCTTTCACTCAGGCCAAATCAACAGGGGTGGGGAAATCAGTCTGGAACAAATCCGACGTAATGTTTAGGCACTAGTGTTGTTCACATACGATAGACAGAAGGACTGACGGACGGACATTTGAAGGAAAAGGAGGAGAGAAAAAAACCAACAACACTTTTTCGATATCAGGGGATCCCAAAGGGTGCATTTCCGTTGAAATATCGATATCGATTTTCCGCTACATTAAATAAATTTCTCTATACCACGTATATTCCTCTGTATTTGCGTACATATACGAGCAAGTAAAATATAAGGAGCCAATACCGAGATGTTTTTTATGTGCGTGTACGGACTGGAGGAAGAGGGGGGAGGTTAGGAGTGTGTGGGTCCGCGGTTGGTCGGAAGGGTTATTTGCAACATGCGCGAGAGTCCGTTGCATTCTAATGCTTTCCCTTTAGCTTGTTTTGAGGGTCCGTGGGAGACGAGAACCGAGCCTTTTTATGAAGAGTTCGGATCGGTTGAAAATGTTGATAGTTTTCGTTGTACATGTTTCCTGTTCTGCATATTCGCTATGGTTAGTTATGGTTTGTGCTAAATACTTCTGATGTAGCAAAAGCACGTGGCACATTATTAAATTAACTATCTAATTAAAATAATTAGAGAATGTATTTGTTAGTGTGGCCATTTTAATGTGTTTGATAGGTTATATCTTCAACAATTGCAATTTGTTCCATGCAGTGAATGACATAGTTTTCTAAAATATTAACTTGTTAAATTGCCAACTCATTTACTCTGAGTCATCCGAATAATCTGCATATTACATGCAACATCAGTGAGAATAGTAAGAGGAAAGTGCTGTAATCATTAAGCACAATTTTGTAATACTCTAGTTGAGATCAAAGCACTGACCCTCCAAAGTAAAAAAAAAAAAAATAAATAAATAAAAATCCCCCACCAACGGTTCCTCTCTTGCTGTTCACAGGTACGAAAGGCAGCAGACAGCTCATACAATGAGGGGAACCGGTTACAGTACCTCCTCTTTATACAAACGTGTAGAATATCCTAGAGACGGTAATTGCACAGCCCTGTTTGCTACATCCGTTATAATTGTAGTGTCTGCATTCCAACAAGGGGCGGGTGCAGCCTCATTAGGGCCGTAACCCATGATTGCTCCGCCCTATTACACCGGCGAACTACCCCTTGCCGGCGCATGCGGTCGCCGTGCCCGACATGCCTCCCCCCCCCCCCCCGCCGCCCCGCAAGCCGCGGCGCTCGCATGCCTCCCCCCGCAAACTGACCCGCAGCCAGGGAGGACCGACTCGGCGTCTTGTGCTCGATATATCGACGTTTTCCATGGTTTGTCCGTGAATCCCCATAATCACAATATTGAAAAAATTAAAATATCTAATAATAACTGATGACACCACTATCTGTGTTCCTACCAAACGAACGCGCCGTGTACTACCTTCATTGAGCTTATTGAAATTACCTCGCCCGAGATAGTCCTAATGGCTTAGTATTTCTTCATCTTTCCACGTATTTCGTACATGTAAAGGCGTTTTATAACTTAATTTATAATTAAATTTTAACTCAAAATAAATATACACTCCCGCTTTTATATTGAATTTTGAATTGAGAATTGATTTCACATTGACTAATTCAATGTTAGAGAAATAACTATAAAACATTGATGGTTTTTGGTCTATGTGTTTTAAACGTCGATGTTTTAAATTTGAACGTCAATGTATTGTTGTCGATGTCGCATTACCGCAGAGCCCCAAGCACCTCATGAGCGTAGACAGGTCTCACCCACGGCTTTTTCTGTTCGCCATCTGCTTCACATCTCTGGTTAATTATTATTGCAGTAAATCGATAGAGGCCAAAATACTTATTTTGTTACATTTACATTTTCGTTTAAGAACTATTTTTATTATGTGTTCTGTTTGCTACCAGTTGTGTGTAGTCGATCATTTTCTCTCTGAATGAGGAAATTTAACTTTGTTTTAACGGAATCCGCATGTTTGGTTGAAATAATTTTTAATTCCTTGCACATGTGATTGAAAAAAAGGAAATACCTTTTGAAGTATCGTATTGTGGTTTCTTGAATATAACACTGCAAAATTGTTGTTTTGTAACATTATATTTTTGCTGGTGCAGAGAATTCGTTTCATATCGCATTCATTACGAACAGTGGTGATGATCTAGTATCAACACACCTCGGAAACATGTGCCCATTTCGCAGAAGGTACGAATCCACCATTGTCCACGTTTTGAAATTCTCGCACATCAGAGCTTGTCGAATAAACGTAAATTTACGGCGCGTAATTTTTGGAGAACACTACCTGCTCGGTGTGCGAGAATTTTGAGGTGGAGAGATTTCCTTTTGACTGTTTGTCATGCTAATTTAGCACAATATAATTCTTTATTATGCGACTTAATATATTTATTTTATATAGATAACTAATCTCTGTCACATCCACAGGGGTTCTCAGGACGGGAGGCGTGTTGAGGGTTACCTGGGCCGGGGCCCCACTTAATTAGGTCCTTGAATTTTTTCATTCAAAACTAATAAATGTATTTACTTCTAATTCATATTAATAGAAATAATTTTGCTCTGTTGTCTGGAGAAATTAATTTTTGTATGCATGGGACGGGGGTCTCGTCTGTATTATTGAACAGAATAGTAATGTTACGTAAGTACATCGCACAGAATTCTCAAGACCAATCCGTAAAAAAAGATTTCAACTAGATTGTCGATTGCGGTTGGTTATGAAAGTTTTAATAAATTTCAGTATGTCATTGATACTGATTATTTCGATTGAATATCGCAAGCGCGTTAATTTCAAAACCACCACATGGACAGGAGTGTCTGCGAATGGTGCCGACCCGTGGGCTGCAGCCCTCCATCCCATCCCCGCTCCTGCACGCCGAGCGCTTGGCCCCGGAGGGAGGGTTGTGCATTCCATGGGACGCTGCGCGTGGCGACGTGCGAGTGAGCAACGCACGCAGGCGCTTGCGTGGGCGCGCGCCCCGCCCGGCGGCGACCAGGCGACGCGCGAGTGGCGCGCCCCCCCCCCCTGGGCGCTGCCACGCGGCCATCGGCGCGTGCCCTCAGCCTGTGTGCATTCCCGCGCAATATCCTTGGCCGCTCCCGCCCCCTGCACATGTAATAGACTCGCTGCTGCATATGGAATGGTTACGTCGAAACGGAGGTTATAATGACAGGTTGAGGACATGGTGCAGAACGAAATATATACATACTGTATACTCGTCCGGAGGTCAAGTGTTTGGTTGTTCTAAGCATCGGGAAGTATGCTGGAAACTGCAGTCTTTTTACAATTGCTCAGTTGGATCTCTAAAGTTCATTCACCCAGATAAGTAGTTTCGGTTTTTGCAAATTATGTAGATTCGAGGGCCAGGAAAAAGGCAGAAGTGATGTTATTTTAAGCACAATACCCAGGTTCTATTTGCTGACAGTGTGTCGTCGTAGCAGTGGTATCAAAATTGTTGGGTGGATAAAAGGTTGCGCATTGTATATTGAAGGAAAACTCTAGTATTTGTTATAGCTATATCATGAATAATTTATTTATTTGCACTTCAATTAAATGCGTATTGTATTCTCTTAGTACTGTATGACAAATTCTGTTTTTATACATTTAATTAATCCTAGTCACATTAAACCTACTCAGTTACAGAACTGAATGATAATAATCTGTATGTAGATAAACAAAACTGCTTTACAATAATTCTCTGATGGACAAGAAAAGACTGATAATTCTATTTTACATGCGAAGGATGTAAAATATCAACACCTTTTGCAAGACCAGAGGGTAGTTATATAGTTTACGGATATTTAAATTATGCACATCATATTTAATTCATTATTCTAGAGAAATTTTACAAATATATACAAAACAGTGTACATTCCTCATTTCTTGTCTTGACATGACTTCCTTTTCTTGCTTTTAACTGAATTGTTGTAAAACGTTTGCGTTTATCTGTACATAAGAGAGGATCATCCGTTCTAGAATTTGCAAATCATAAATACTTTGGAAATGGAGGTGGCCCGCTCCGCGTGGCTCTTTTAGGGGCCGGAAAATTGCAAATAATAATAATAGTAATAATAATAATGATAATAGTAATAATAATGGTAGTAATAATAATAGTAATAATAATAATAATAGTAATAATAATGGTAGTAATAATAATAGTAATAATAGTCTTGTAAAAATTTGAACAAGTATTGTATAATAACGCCTGCAAGTTAGATTATAGTACGGATACGTCTCTTCGGCGAAATCCATGAGTGATGCTTTGCCAATTCAAAGAATGTTTCATTGATGGATCGTCAGTCGCGCAATTCACATTAACTTAATCTTATTGGGTAAAGTTCCCTATAGTGTAATACGTTCTTTATGTGAAATACCAAAGTATCAGACTTGTATTGAGCTGACATCTCGAGACAAAATTTGGGAATTACTTTGAAGAGGCCCCTGATCGACCGTAGAAATGTTTGAGATTAAGCTCTTGAGTGCAGTTGCAGATCGTGTTTTCTTCAGAGAGTCAACAAAAATACTGGAGCAGGAAACAAAAAAATTGTCATTCCTGTGCAGTAAATATTAGAATAATTATCTATAGTATGTGCTAGTTGTAAATCTGAGGAAATATCACAAAACGTATAAAGAACATTGATGCAGATTTTGACCGTGAATCACCTTGAAAGCAATGTGGCAGCTCTGTCCATAATGAGGAATATGAGCATTGTCCTTTTGTAGAACATTGCGCATTGCTGCTGTATGTAAAATGCTCATAGTTCGTTCGGCTGTATACTGTAAGTTGTATTTTCTAACATATTAATGTTGACATTTTACTGTACGCTGTGGAGGTGTACAGCCCAAGAGCTCCACTGCTTAGAGTCAATGTTAGAAATGTAGAAACCGGGATCATGTCCCATGTACAGATAATCCAAAAAACAATTTCGTCTGTGGGAATTGTCTGTAATATTAAACAAAATATGTATTTTGGCTTACCTAAACGTTATTGACGTAATTGTATTTATTATTTGCTAAAAAGAAAAAAAATGCACTGATCCACTTTAGGAACGCGATATGCCTAATTTGGAATATATGTAGACCTTTTTAATTATGAACTATCGTGAATTTCGAATATATTTGAGTAAATAATATTATCCTCATTGGTTTAAAACTGTATAGTTTAAGTAATTATCTTCTCTAGTCATCAAAATGACGCTTATTTGTGAAGGCTCTGTCTGTACTTGGTGCGACAGTCCGCGAACAGGCTAGGGCCTACGTTAGCACGAAGTCTCCCCTACGCCGAATTCTGGTCTTCTCAAATTGAGAAGTGAGTTTTCTCATCGTCTCACATTAACATATACTGGCACATTGCAAGGAAAACTCACACTACAATCTTACCCGACCGGGAATCGAAAACACGGTCGCGCCAGGAAAGCGAGCACGCTGATCAATGAGCTACCCGTTAAAGCAAATAAAAAAAATAAGGTATCAAATTTATGAGGAGGATTTCGTCATTTCTCAAAGAAATGTAGTTTCTACGCCTTGGCATTGCGTCTTAAATTGTGGCATGGACGAGTTAATCCAAAATGCAAGAGAGATAGAATGAGACTTATCGCTTCTAGATATTCAGAAAGCTACACTGCTATTCGTCGGAAATACTTTAAGGACGCAGTATATTTGGGTCAATCGAGATGTGGATTTTAGAACAGGACACAGGGGTTGAAGCTACGTAGGAACAGAACCGGAGGGGCAAAAACACTTCGTGGTGGAAACCGCTTTGTGTAGTCTCGTGGTCGATCTCTTCCGCTGGAACCTATGTCTTTATGAGTGCAGCAAACGCTTTTGCACAATTTGTCAAAAGTACTGCCTTGGCATTGTGTGTTCAGTAAACGCTCTTACGTGGTAAGTTCTGTCGTGTCTGTTGAGCGAAGTAATTGTAAAATGGTACGAGAGCTGCCGCAACATGTTGTACTCGATTGACTAATAAATAACAAATTCGAAATAATTGGCATTAGGAATTCGGGACTTCCCAAACGA